TGCCTTTCTCCCACGGAGCGGCCCTGGCCAGCAGCATGAGCCCCGGTGCCCGTTCGGGACGAGGGCACAGGCCTGGCAGGGAGTAGCGGTCATGCTGCAGGCTGCCCTTCCATCTGGGGAAGGACGGCAGTCGCCCCCCTCCGTTGCATCTCTCGGGGGCCTGCCTGGGGTGGGGGGGCTGTTCCCAGGGACACTCACAGCTCTCGTTTGTTTCCAAGGACTTCCTTCCATGCCTGCCCCATCCTGGCTGGACTGCAAGGAGCATGCGGCGGGGAGGGGGCCAACCTCTCCAGCACCTGCCCAAAAGGTGGGGCTCCCCTCCACCAGCAGCCCTCAGTGCTGTGCCGGGAGAGCCGCTCACCAGGCCGTGTGAGCAGAGGCCCTGGCCGGCCACCCCGGCGCCACCTACCTGCCCAGAGGCTGGGGGGCGGCCGTCCGCGCAGGGAGCAGAGCAGGAAGGCGGCCCAGACGCCCAGCGAGCCCAGCACCAGGCCGGCCACCCAGGCGACGCGCAGCCAGGCAGGGTCGCTCAGTGCCCACGGGCCCAGGGAGGCCATGCTCAGCCCAGCCGCTCTGTGCCACGCCACCGCGCGAGCGAGCGAGCGCGGGGAGGGGGAGGGGGAGGGCGGCGGGCCGGCCCCATTAACCCTCCCCGGCCTGTCCTGCGCGCTGGCCCAGATGGCTTCCAGATGTGCGCGGCCCCTCCCCTCCTCCTCCGCCAGCCAGGCCGCGCCCTGTGAGTCAGCCGGCCAGGCCAGGCCTTAACCCTCCTGGGTCTGGCCAGCCCTGGGGCAATGCCCACCCGGGGCAGCAGGCGTGCCGGGAGGGGGCAAAAAGCCCCCCTCTCCGCCTGCGTTCTTGCCCGAGCATCCCAACGATGGCGTCCCAGTGCCGTCCCAACGCTCACCGGACGCATTTGGACGAGGCCTCGGTCAGGAGCGGCAAAAGGGGCGAGGAGGGGAGGAGCCGGCGGTGCAGCGTGGAGCGGATCCGGGCAGTGGGGGACGAAGGCCGGTTGCCGCCAGGGCTGCCCTTGGCCAGGGCCGGCCGGCAGACGGAGCGGTGGGGGAACGGCCCGTCCCCTGGGGCGTGCTGCAGCCGGGTGCAAGGCCATCCCGCCTGCGGGCGCTGTGCTCTGCGGGCTGTCCCGGAACCGCCGGCAAGGGGGCCGTGGAGGGGGCCCGCGTGGATCAGCAGGCCAGAGCTGCTTGCCCGGGCAGCACCGGTGCTACCAGCCGCAAAGCCCCGGCTGTGCCTGGCAGACATCCGTCCTCGCCTGCTGGCCCTGAATGGCGGACATTCCACACGCAGGGAAACAAAGGGAGCTGTGTCGACCTCCCTCGGGAAAGGTCAGCCTGCACAAGGGGGCGAGGGCTCAGTCGGGGCCATTTAAGTGCCCAGGGCGGCCTCCCTCCGTGGCTACTGCCCTGCAGCCGCGGCACCCCTCTCTGAGCAGGGGTCTGCAAGGCACGTGCACGGAGCGGGTCCCTGTGCATCTCCCCCCCCCCGATTTGCCCAGGCCCCCGAAAGCCACCAAATGGGCGGCCAGAGGGTGCATCGGCACCGGGGCAAGGAGGCCCTTCCTCCCTCCTTCTCCCTCCGAGGCCTGTGGATACTTCCCAGCACGGGAAAGCCATCCCAGGGAAAAGTCCACAGGAAGCCCTTGCGATCAGTTCGGCACAGGGTCACGGGGGCACCGCGGGGGTTCCACATGTTAAGAAATTGGGGGAGCGGGGGCTTTTCATCCTGGAGGAGGGGAGACTCCAAGGGGTCTTATAGCCACTTACAGGTATGTGAAGGGGCGCCACATGGCGGAGGGCTGTGGCCTGTTCCCCCCTGCGGTGGAGGCAAGGATGGGATCCGGTGGGGCAAAGCACAAGGAAGCAGGTTTTAGGTCAGGTGCCAGGAAGTCCTTCCTGACGGGCAGGACTCCGAGGTGCGGCATGGGCTCCCAAGGGCGTGGTGAGGCCCCATCAGCAAGGGGTTCAAGGAACGACTGGATGCCCACATGCTGGGGTTACGTGAGCAGGGCCAGCAGGAGCCGGGGGTCAGAGCAGATGGCCCCGGAGGCCCCCTCTGCCTCGCCTTGTTTGCTTCTAGATTGCCTGGTAGGGGAGAGCTGTGGGGAATCAGCCCCTTTCCCCATACAGTCGTGCCCATGGCTGGAAGAGAGGGGCAGTGGCCCCCCCTCCATTCCCCGGGCCCCAGAATGGGCCCTGGCACTCCCGGTGGCTCTTCCAAAGTCGCTGCTCACAAAGCGGCTCCTGCAGGACATGCCACTGAGGGCAGGTTTGCGCAATGGCGAGCAGCCGGCTGCCTTCCCAGCTCCACGTGCAGCAGCCACTTTCCCGCACACGGGCTGCCCTGTCCTCCAAACCGGAGGGGTGCACAATGCATGGTGCCCCCAGAGCACCCCAGAAGCCGGGTCCCTGCAGCGGCGGCTTCAGAGCAGTGGAACCCCCTGGCCTGTGGGGAAGGCGCCTCGGACCAGGTCCTCCTGCTCCCGCACGGGCGCCAGGTGCTCCCGAAGACCCCCAGCGCGGCTGCCGGAAGAGGGAGGCTGCCACCTCCAGGGACCCAGGCAGGCCTGCCCCGCGGAGGGCCGGAGAGACCCTGGGGCAGCACAGGGGGGGCCCTGGCCGCACGGAGGAGCCTCCGGCCTCATGGGGGGGCAGCGGGGTTCGCTGCCCCCTCCCTGCCCTGCGCCTCCCCCCCCCCCCCCCCCCGGGCGCCGGCGCCCCCCAGCCGCATGCGAGGACCGGGCCGGGCTCCTTCCGCCCTTGGCCAGTCCCTGACGCCGAGCCAGCGGTGGTGCCCAGGGCTCCCGCGGGGCGGCCCCCTCCCGCGGTGGCTGCTCTGCCGCTCGGGCGGCCCGGCGGTGAGCAATCGCGCAGGAATGGGCCGCAGCGACCGCCAGCAGCAGGAGACGCCCCTCCTCCTCCTCCTCGCTGCCAGCCCCGCGCATGCGCCCCAGCGAACCTGGCCCGCCGGAGCCGAAGCGCAAGGGCCCGCCCCGCAGCAGCCAGCCGCGCGGCGCGGGCGCCCCCTCCTGGCCGAGCGGGGCGGGCGCCGTGCCGGTCCGGGAGCCGCGGCAGCCCCCTCGAGGGGCCGCGCCGGGGGCCTGGCGCCGGGCTGCCCCGCTGCTCGCCCGCACCTCCCCACGTGCCCCCAGGCCCCCCGTGGCTCTGCCTGACGAGCCCCACCCGACAGCACGGAAAGAGGCGTTGCGGGAGCGCTGGCGTCCGGCGGCCGCGGAGGCCCGGCCCTGTGCCTGGGAGTACAGTGCCCATCAGCCCCAGCTGGCAAGGGGAGGTGGTCCAACAGAGCAGGAGGGCATCCAGTTGCCTGATGGGGTGAGAGGGCCAAGCAGGCTGGTGCGGACCAGCAAAGTTCTGGTCCTGGAAGTGTGGCATGAGAGAGCACAGCGGCCGAGGGGCATTACGGGCCAGCGGGGAGCTCAGCAGCTCTTCTCCTGTCCCGGGAAGAGACCATAGAAACGGTACTGAATCTGCCTTGGTCGCCCTGTACGATGACCTGTGCAGGGAGAGGGACGGGGAGCGTGCGTCCCTGTTGGTTCTCCCGGACCGCTCAGCGGCTTTCAGTACCATCGACCATGGCATCCTCCAGGATAGGCTGGCGGGACTGCGAGGAGGAGGCACTGCTTGGCACAGCCAGAAGTGTGGCTTCTAGATCGAGAGAGGAGTTACTACCACTCTATACCGCTCTGCTGCGCCCGCAACTGGAGGATTGTGCTCAGTTCTGGGCCCCTCATTACTGGAAGTATATAGCCAGGTTGGAGTCAGTGCAGCGCAGGGCCACGAGGTTGGTGGCCAGTTTGCAGGGGATGCCGTACGAGGCGAGACTGAGGGAGCTGGGTCTCTTCAGCCTGGAGGAGAGGAGACTCAGAGGAGATCTGTTGGCGACATGCAGGTACGTGAGGGGGTGTCACACGGAGTTGGGCAGAGACCTGTTCTCCCCAAGGAAGGCAGGATGTGCTCCAATGGAGCAAAGCTCAGGGACCAAGGCTCAGTTTGATGCCAGGAAGCACTTCCTGACGGTCGGGACCCTGAGGGTGTGGAATGGGCTTCCCCGGGAGGTGGTCGAGGCCCCATCGGTGCGGGTGTTCAAGGACAGGCTGGACGTGCACATGGTGGGCATGTTGTGAGTGGAGCCAGCTGGACACCTCCCCACACACACACACATACCTGTATGTTGCCAACAGATCCCCTCTGAGTCTCCTCTTTTCCAGGCTGAAGAGACCCAGTTCCCTCAGTCTCGCCTCGTACGGCTTCCCCTGCAAACCGGCCACCAACCTCGTGGCCCTGCACTGCACTGACTCCAACCTGGCTGTATCCTTCCTGTAATGAGGGGCCCAAAACTGAGCACAATACTCCAGTTGCGGGAGCACCAGAGTCGTATAGAGTGGTAGTAATACCTCTCTCGATCTAGAAGCCACACTTCTGGCTATGCAACCAAGGGTAGCGTTCGCCCTCTTGGCCACCGCATCACACGGCTGGCTCACATTCAGCCTGCAGGCGACCAGCACCCTGAGGTCCCTTTCGCAAGTGCTGCTCTCCAGCCACTTGTCACCTAACCTGAACTTATGACACCTACTCCTATGCCCCAAGTGCAAGACCTTGCACTTATCCACACTGAACGCCATCCTGTTGTCTCCTGCCCACTTCCACGGTCTGTCCAGATCCTTTTGGAGCTGGAGTACCTGCTCCTCAGTTGTGGCCACTGCGCCCGTTTTAGTATCACCTGCGAATCTGACCAGCAGACTGGTCACTCCCATGCAAGATCCGGCAAACCGCTGCTTGTGGGGAGGGCAGGGGACCACAGAAGCAGCCGGGGGCAAGTCAGCCGTGTAGCCCCACCCTGAGGAAATTCAGGCAGCAGCTCTGCAAAGGCCCTACCCGCCTGCTCTGGCACGGCCTGAAGTCCCGGTCCAGCCCCAAGGGCGGCTGTCCCCCCTGCACAGAGAGGCCCCACGCGAGACGAGCTGTGTGGCTTTTTATTGAGTGCAACAACTTCAAACAGAGCCCAAGTGGCTGACAGCAGCAGACTGCGCCCCCCGTGCCACTGTGCCGCCCCCCAAGAGCGGGCCACTTAGGCAGCCCGTCTGCGGCCCCCGAGGGACCCGTTCCCTTCGCACGGCCCCACGGCGAGCCACAGCCAAGCCGGCCGGCTGCACGGCCAGGGGCCTGCCCCACTGCCAGCCGGGAGCACCTTTCTCACCCCACAGCCGGAAGGACACTGGTGCCCAGAGAGCCATCGGGGCAGCTCCGGAAGAAGCGGGCAGGCCCCATGGGGGCAGACGCGCCCAGTCCTCTGCAGCCCCCTCACTGCGGCTGGGACCAGCGGCAGGTGAGCAGGTACTGGGGATACGCCTGGGTGTCGTTGAAGATGACGAAGATGGAGGGGTGGTCCGGGTTGTCCACGGTGCTGTCGTACCGCCGCGGCGCGGTGTCCCCGTCACGAAGCGGCGGCGCCCGCATGCCCGGGCTGCCCCTCGTGTAGTCCCCCACCAGCGTCCGGGCGACGAAGACAAACTTGCTGCCATCGCTGCTGCAGGGGGAATACTGTTCGTGCACCGACAGGAAGGACCTCGTGGCAAAATAGACGCCGCAGCCGTAGCGCGTGGCTGGCGGCAGGGGGAAAGCGGGGAAGAGCCGTCAGTGCCGGCCGGGCGCCGGGTGGCCCTCGCGCCCCGCCGTGAGTGTCCCCGCGGCTGCCCACAGAGGCCATCGCGGCGCTCCTGCAGGCCACCCGGCCACCCCTTTTCCGAGCCGCCGGGTCTTTCTTGAGGCTTTGAGCCTCCTCCGGTGGTGGGAAGCTGCCGCAAGCCTCCGCCCCCCCATCCGTTGTGTCTCCGGCACTCCCCAGGGACGCAAAATCGGGCAGGCACCGGAAACGGGCTGCCCAAGTGGCCGCTGGGCCCTCCGACCCCAGCGCTGCGCGGGGGGACACGGGCCTGCCCCCCTGCACACGGGCCCTCCGGAGCAGCGCCACGGCTGCCAGCCGGGCTCCCCAGTGCGGCCGAGGGCCCGCGCGAGGCGTGCCGGAGCGCAGAGCCCCGCCACCGAGGGCCGGGGCCCAGGCCCTGCCCGCGCGGGGAATCGCGGGAGGCCGGCTCACCGTTCCTGCCGCAGAAGCTGCGGTTGAAGCCGTGCTGGCAGATCTCGCGGCTGGCCTGCTCGGTGGTGCCGTGGTAAAGGACACGCTCCACCTGCTGCTGCTGCCGGCAGGCCTGCTCCATGGCCGCCTTCTTCAAGCAGTACTGCTGGTAGAGGAGTGGGTGCAGCAGCTTCTCCACCTGCCGGGGGCACAAGTGCACCGGCTCAGCCCTTGGCCGGCCCTCGCCGGCCCGATGCGCTGCGCCAGCCCTGGGGCCGAGGGTCCCCAGCTTGAGGCAGCCACCACAGGGCGGCGGAATCGAGGGCTGCTGCTGTGAGACCCACGGCTGCCCCAGACGGACACTTCTGGTGCGGGCGGCTGTGTGGAAGCCCCCAGAGCGGCTCGGGCACGCAGCCAGCCCCGAAGGGACAGGGAGGGGAGGGGCGGCCCAGCAGAACGGCCCGGCCCGGCCCGGCCCGGCCCCAGCAGCAGGCAGACCACAGGACGGGCCCATGCCCCCTCCCCACCACATCGGGGACTCTGGTCTGGGGCTGGCCAGGGAAAGCCCCCCGCTGCTGCCGGGGCGGCCCACTCCTGGAGCGTCTGGGCCCCCGTCCCGCCCGCCGCACCTTGACAACGCTGATCTTGCTGCGGAGCAGCTCCAACGTGGCGCAGAAGTCGCGGACGGTCTCCTGGAACTCCGCCGAGTCCTCGGTCAGCAGCACCAGCTTCGCCTCCTCGCTCAGGGCTGGCGGGTCAGCAGGGGCTGCAAGGCGGCCACTGCCCATGAGGGGGGTCCCGGAGGAGCCCCCGCCCCACCTCCTGCCCCCCAGGGGGCCGGGCCGAGGGCCTACCTGGGGGGGCGGCAGGGGGGGCCTTGGCGCGGCTGATGGGCAGGGCCCGGGCGTTGGCGAGGTCGCGCTCCTCCATGCGCTCAAGGTCAAAGTGGAAGAGCTGCTCGCCGAAGACGACGTCCAGGTGGCGGTGCCCGCGGCGCCATGCCCACTCCAGGAGGGCGCTGGCCTGCGCGGAGTACGGGGTGGGGGAGTCCCGCCCCGCGGCCTCCCAGCGGACCCAGGAGGGGCCCTCGCCGCCTTGGGGGGCGGGGGCGGCCTCGGCCGGCAGGACGCGGGCCAGCAGCAGCGCCAGGTCTCTGGTGGCAGCCATGGGGTAGTCCAGGAAGCCGCACGCGGTGGCTGCCGCTCCGGCCCGCAGGATGCGCACGGCGTGCTTGCGCTCCAGGTGGGCCAGGTAGCCCTGGCAGGGGGCAGGCAGTGTGCTCAGGGCCTCGTGGCGCACGGTCTCTTCCTGCAGCTGTGCCGACAGCGCCTGCTCCAGCTCCCGGGCCAGGGCCGCCGTGCCGTCCTCCGCACTCATGCAGAGCACCACCTGAGCGACATGGGCTGCCTCCGGAGAGGCGCCCGGGGGGGGCGTGCCCAGACCGGGCGGCTGCTCCCAGCTCCAGGAGCCCAGGGAGAGCTCTATGGCCCTCTGCAGCTCCGCCTCCTCCTGCCAGGCGCTGTCCATGGACTGCTGGATGGCCAGCAGCAGCTGGGCCGCCTCCTCCTCCGACGCGCTGGCCCCGGGGCCGGCGAGGGGCAGGAGCCCCCCCTCCAAGGAGCCCGCAGCCGCCTCCTCGCTGGCCAGAGCACCCTCGGCCTCGGCTTGTTCGGGAGCCAGATGGAAGGTGTCTTCCTCCATGGCGGCCGGCTCTTCGGGACCCAGCGGGGCTCCATCGGTGGCCATGCCAGGAGGCTGGAGGGCGGCCAGCAGGCCCCTGATCACCTCTGCAGGGAAGAGCACGCCACTGAGGAGACTGCGGCCGGCCCACGAGGGGCGGCTGCCCAGCCCACGCTCTGTGGCTTCCGGGCCCGGCTGCAGCGGCGGCGGCAGGCGGGGAGGGCCAGGGGGACCTGCTTGCTGTCCCAGTCACCCCTTCCTGCCTCCGCAGGCAGCGGACACCTTACCCATGTTTGCTGTGCTTCCTCCGTCGGCCCCACCACCAGAGCCGCACGGCTGCCCCAGCCCAGGCAGAGAATCCCGTTGGCAGTTCAGGAAGAGCGGATCCTGAGACCTTTCCAGCGGGTGCTGCGGGCCGAGAGGGGGTGTCGGAGAGGGCAGCACACTCGGGACGTGCCTCTCCTGCCCCCGGGGAGCCCAGTGCCCCATCCCTGCCCCCTCCCCACACCCGCCCCATCCCTGTCCCCCCACCTCGCCCGTGCCCAGGCAGCCCCTTCCCCATGGGGGCAGAGAGCGGGACTCGCACCTGGGCCTCCGGCGGGCGCCAGTCGACTCGCTCCAGCCCAACGACACCGCGGAAGCGCTTCTCCAGCTTGCGCACCAGGGCCTGGCCGCGCTCGTCCCGCAGGAAGCGCCTGACGCCCGGCAGCTCCAGCGCCACCGTCTCGGTGCGCAGGGCGCAGAGGAGGCTCTGCAGCAGCTCCGCCGCCGCCTGGCAGGCCCGGGCTTCGCCGCTCAGCTGCGGGGGGGGGGGCAAGCCGGGGTCAGCGGGACGCGTCTCGGGGCTCCACGGCCAGCTCTGGCAGGCCCGCAAGCCGGGGCCCAGGTTGGGATAGGGATAGTGTTGGGGTGCTGAGCCCGCCGGTGGGGCCGCAACCCCCGCAGGAAACGGGAGGCCCGGGCTTGGCGCCAGCGGGGCAGAAGGGCCGGTGGCGGGGGCAGCCCAACAGTGCCGCTTGGGCACGGCGAGCGCGCTTCCTGGCCGAGCCTCCCGGCGAGGGACGGGGCGACGATGCAGTCGGAGGAAGGGCGGACCTGGACAGAAAGGGGTCCCAGCTGGCAGGTGAGGGACACCGGGCGGGTGTGCCAAGAGGCAGGGCCGGCCGAGGAGCGCGGTGGGCAGGCGGTGGGGAAGGGCACGCACGGAGCCTTGCCCGCCTCACCCGGAAGCCAGTGATGTCCGCTCCTTCCAGGGGCAGCAGGGAGACATCGGCGATGCCGGCCAGCACCTCGTGGCGGTACAGCTGCAGGAAGCGGAGGGCGCTGGCCTCCATGGGCACCACGACCTCCTCCGGCATGCAGTCCTGCAGGAAGGCCTCCAGCCGCACCATGTTCTCGTGCTCCAGCCCAAGCAGGGTGAGGCCCTCCAGCTCCTGCCCGTCCTCCGCCAGGCGCACCTGGCAGCACGGCAGCTCCGCCTGCAGCCGGGCCCAGCGGGGTGAGACCAGGGCGGGCAGCTGCCGCTCTGACAGAGGCAGGGCGAGCGGGCACAGGAACGTGTCCAGGAGAGCCGCGGCCCGGTGGGCGGCCGAGGGCTGCAGGGCAGCCACCAGCACCTCGTCTGCGGCAGGGACGTAGCAGGCGGCCACCCCCTCTGTGGCCAGCAGCTCCGCCAGCCGCCCCTGGACCTCCTCCTGCTGCAGGAAGGCCAGGGCCCAGGAGGAGAGGGGCTTGTGCTCCTGGACCACCCCCTGCAAGGCGGCCAGGACGTGCTCCTGCAGCTCCTGCCGGCGAGCCGCTTCTCCGCTCGAGAGGCGCAGGCCGGTTCCTTCCCGCTGCACCGTGCATCCCGGCACGGCAGCAGCCAGCTCCTGCAGGACCAGCTCCGACTGCAGCAGCCGCTGTGTGGTCGCCGGCAGGGCGGGGATGCAGATCGGGGAGTCCGCCCCGTCCTCCGCAGGGGTGTTTCCTCCAGCCTCGACCTCCTCTGCAGGCTCCAGGAAGTCATAGTAAGGGGAGACGGCCAGGGGTCCGTCCAGAAGCTGGTGGGGCCTCTGCAGCACCTGCTCCACCGCTGCAGAGAGGCGGGAGAAGTGGGGACGGGGCTGGCGTGGCTCCGAGCCTCTCCCCGCGGCCCCCTTGCCCCGGCTGACTCAGCTTGGCCAGTCCAGAGGCAGCAGGTGGCCCCCAGCAAGCGAGCGGGCAGGGCAGGGCAGGGCAGGACAGGGCAGGGCAGGCAGGGCAGGGCAGCTGCAGCAGGGAGGGCCCTCGAAGCGTCTGCAGGCGCCCGAGCGCCGGCTTCTCCGACCTGCTCCTGCCCCGAGGTTGCACAACCCCGGATGCAAAGCGGCGCTCTGGGAGGGACGGGCTCCGGCTGCCTCGCCGGCCCGCCGAAGCTGCCCAGCAGGTCCGCGGGAGGCCGCCCAGGCAAAACGCTCCTCAGCAGAGAGGACCAGGTGCCACCGTGCCCGCGGGGCCGAGCGCCAGCCCTTACCTGCGCTGTCTTCGAAGGTGACCACAGCTGTCGTGCCCCCGGAGAGCAGCCGGACGGCCCGCACTCGGCCCCCGCCCCCGCGCCGGCTCTCGAAGTAGAGCTCCAGCAGGTCCTGGCTCAGCTGCCCGCCGGCGCCGCCCTGGACCAGCACACTGTCCGTCTGCTCCACCCAGTCGAGCTCGACGCTGGCCCCGTCCAGTGCCCGGTGCTGCACCTGCTCCGCCACGGCCGCGAACTCTGCCAGAGAGGCGGGAGATCAGCCCGCGGCCCCCGGGGCCTCCAAGGGACTCGCAGCCCACCCCCAGCCTGCAGCGGCCGCCAGCAGAAGAGCAGTGCGCTTGGGAAGCAAGCGAGGCTTTGCGTTTGGAAAGCAACGGACCCAGCAGGGTGAAAAGGAAAAGAGATGCGTTCCGACAGGAATAAACACAGAAACAGAGGCTGTGCACAGCAGTGTTCAGCACGCTTTTCCTCCCGGGAGCCCCAAACGATCGATTGCGGTGCCCTCCTGGGCCTGATTCGCCCAGCGCTGCCTCTGCGGTCCAGCCTGAGCCCGGGCGCGGAAGGCTGTGGGGCCCCGGGCAGTGGCGGTGCCGAAGAGCCCGGGGGGGGGGGGCAGAAGCACCCGGGGCCCCCAGAGGGAGTCTCCACACGCAGCGGCCCAGGCAAGAGGGGTTCTGAGGCACGCGCCCTGCGGGACGCCCCGTCAGCGCCCAGAGAAGGCAGCCGCCCCCACGTACCTGCCTCGCTGAGCGGCCGCCGCAGCTGCACCAGGGCGAGATCCCGCGCGCGGCCTCGGAGGACGGAGAAGCTGCCGGCCTCGGCGCCCAGCACGTGCTCCATGTAGCTCTCCAGCAGGGCCGAGCTGGTCTGCGGAGCCACTCCCCGGAGGAGCGCCCTGCTGCAGTCCCGGGGGGCCATGGGCCGGACCAGCAGGGGGGCGCCTTGCAGGACGTGGCTGGCTCTCGACAGGACGCTCTGTGCATCTGGGTGGGGGAGGGAGGAGACCGGGGTGCCCCTGAAAGACGCCCGCAGGCAGGGCCAAGCCCAGCGCTCCACCCCACCTCCGCGCTGGCCTCGTCGCGGGGGCTGGGGGCCCAGCACATCACGCCTCCCCTGCCACAGGCCCCCTTCCAGCCAGCTGGGCTTGTCTCTCTCCCAAACGCAAACATGCAGCCCTTCGGGATGCGAGGAAGGCCGCAAGAGCGGAACGAAAGCAGGCAGACCTCACCGGCTGGAGGAAGCCGAGCCTCACGGGGCTCCTTCCCAAGAGCCACCGCGGAAGGTGGCCGGGCATCCAGCGAGCGGACGCCCGGCAAGAGCAGCCCGGAGGGCTCCTGCACCCACCCTCTCTTGGGGGGCCACAGCATCACCCCAGAAGCAGCCCGCTGTCGCGACCGGTCATCTCCCCCTGGCAGCAGGTGGCGCCACACCAGCCCTTCGCTACTGAGCGGCCAGCGCTGCCAGCGCACCCGCACTCTGAGCACGCTGCGTGGGCTACCTAAAGCTCCCCTTCTGCACCCGTCCCTGTGCCCGCCCCGAGGGAGGGCGCTGCCGAGTGGCACGCTGGCACTCCTCCCCTGCACGCGCCCCCACCGGGCTTCGCCAGGCCGATGCCCGCGGGCCCCGCTGGAGGAAGTGGCCTCCCAGCACACCGCCCTGGGCTGGCGCCTCCACGCTTTGCGGCCCGGGAGAGCCGGCACCGAGGCTGCCGTGTCCTCGCTCTTCCCGCAGCCGCCCCTGCCTGGCCCCAAGACTGCGCGGCTCATCCCGAGGTGGGCCGTGGGACAAGCCGCCTCCCCGCGGCTCACAGGACGGGCCCGGGGGGCCGCCAGCTGCTCCAGGCGGGGCTGGTGCTGAGGCCGAACCAGCATCCCGCCCCAGAGGCTGGCAACTCCTGAGAGCGCCCAGCACTGGGGCGGTGGAGAAAGGGCCTCTGCCTGGTCCATTAGGAGAAGCACCCGGTGTGGGGCCAGGAGGGCTGCCTTCCCCCATGGCCTCGGTCTGCGGGGGCCCCCCCTCAGCACTGCTGCCCGGGGGACGCACGAGACCCTCGCCTGCCCCCCGCTGCCCATCCGCCAGCAGGAGGACCCGCTCCACGCCTTTGGCAGGGAAGCCGCCTTTGCCAAGTGAGGCTTCTGTTTGTTTTGCTGCTGCCTTTCCTTTTCTGTTTTGGTTTTATTGGGATTTGTTTCCAGTCGCTCAAGGACACATTTCCTGGATGAAAACAAGGTGTGGATAAAAGGAGGCCTTCCGGAGAGCCAGCTCGAACCCAGCTTCGTTGAGGTGGGCTCTCCTCCGGACGGAGAGGTCAAGAGGCAGCCGGGCCCCACAGGGCGCCGGCTGGGGTTCCACTCGCGGGCAGGCCTGGCAGTGGCCACGGCGTAGTGGGCAGTGGGGATGTTGCCAAGCTCACCCTCTCCAGAAGCCCCGGCTGAAGTCATGAGGTGCTGGATCAGGCGCGAGGGAGCTCCCCTTGCCCTGCCCTACAGCAGCTGGCCAGCGGCCCCGACGGTGGAGCCCACGGGTGGGGAAGAGGCAGCCCACCACGCGGGTCCCACGCCGGCGGCACTCGGCCGCCTCACTCGGCCCAAAAGGCCTCACCCCACCCCAGGTCCCCTTCGACGGCCATTCAGCCGGCCCCCTGCCCAAGGTTTAGGAAGCGGCTGATTTCGCTTTGCTGGATCGCTTGGGAACACTACCAAGAAGTTGCTTGCCCAGTCTCCTGAAAAAATAGAGGGCGGTTTATGATAAGCCCACGTGCCGAATTATTCTTAAGAATGATTAAGAATTTAAGTGAAAGTAATCTTTCTAGTATACTGAAGTTGCACGAGGACACAAACAGGTTCACAATGCATTCTGGGCAACCAGCATAAAAAGGAAGGACGAGGATGACCTGGACAGTTTCCACGAGAGAATTAAAAGTTCAGTTCATGCCTCATCGTCTTTCAGCCATGAACAGGCGTGCGGTCGTGTCACTCCAGGTCAAAAGAATATCCAGAGGTTAAGATTAGGGGTTCAGGAGAGGAGGAGAAACTGCCCCCCAGGCTCCTTTCCACACAGCATGCAAAATGCCGCACCAGAATTACTAATTTTATTTCTATGCCACCCAACAGTCAAAGCTCTCGGGGCACATTGCTCAGCCCCAGCTGCCCTTTTGCCCTAAGCTTCCCGCCCGTGCCCCCCCATTCCTCACAGGGCAGTTGCTCCAGCCTCCTTATCATGCAGTACCACCTGGAGATCTTTTCCAGGTGTGCAGCATCTTAGAAACACAGAAACAGAGCAAGTCAGAAGGGATCTCCTGGGCCATCTAGTCTGACCCCTGGCTGGGGTGGATGGCACCCAAAAGGGAGGTCTTGGAGGCGCACGCCTTGATACCACTAGTTAGCAAAGTGGGAAGGTGAAGGACAACGCCACCGTGGACTGAAAAGAGGTAGTAAGAGGGGTTAGGCTCAAAAGGAGAGCCAGTGCGGTGCAGTGGTGAAGAGCACGGGACTGGGACTCGGAGGATCCGGGTTCGAGTCCCCGCTCAGCCATGGAGCCAGCTGGGTGACTTTGGGCCAGGCACAGGCTCTCAGCCCAACCTGCCTCACAGGGTTGTTGTTGTGGGGAGAAGATGGAGGAGGATGTAAGCTGCCTTGAGCCCTTTGTAGGAAACAGGCAGGATATAAATCGAAAAATAAATAAA